GATAGATAGAGCGACAAAAAAAACGAAACTATTTAAGCCAAACGACTATAAATAATCTCTCGCGGATCTGCTTTGACGCCTCACTTTTTTATTATTATATAGTTTTTCTCTCGCGTCCAAGGAGATACATGGGTATGTTTTATAAGCATTATGATATACCGTCTGGATCCCCATTTTCATGAGCGGCGAGCGAGCGGCGAGGTGACCTCAGAGAAGAGGTGCCGCGCGCGCACAAGCGCGAATGTGTATATCTATTAGCAATAAAACACAAGTTTCCGAGTAGGTAATTCATAAAAATATTATGCGTCAGTTGACACGATGAGCAACGATGCCAGCGAGAGGATGAAAAGGTTCTTTTTTTTTTCTTCTTCTACACTTCTTCGTCATAGTCGCATCGTGCTCAATGTCAAAGTATCAAACGCAGGACGCGTTCGCGCGTAGTATAAGAGGACAAAAGAAATTCTTCTTCTTTTTTTTTTTTCATAATTGTTTTTCCTCCTTCGCACAAGAAGAGACGTTAAAAAATCGCCTGGCGTTTAATCATTAAACGTGTATACTACCGCGCGCACTTGTAAGTCTCGGGCACGAGTGCGCGGGTAATTCGTTTATTGGCTGCGTTTGAGTTTTGTTCGATTCTTTTGTTGATGGATATAAAAGATCTCTCGCGTACGTGATGTTTCGCGGCGATATAATATAGAAAAACAAGAGTATTTTTGCAGATTCACGCTTACAAAGTGCAACGGTGCGTAAATTTATTGCACATCCAAATTCAGTCGCATCGAAATAATCCATAAAAAGAAGAAGCGCCTGACAAACAAAAGCTCACAACTGCAGCATTCGCAGAGACAGACGCAGAGATACACACGTTTGTTTCGAGATCTAATCTCGCAAGCTAGTTTTAGCGTTTTTTAATCGACCGGCGCTCGGATGACGATGAATTTCGCGGACATCATCGTTTGTCCAAAAAGAAAAGAGAACTAAAAGGAATCGAAGAACGCACGCATAAGAGTCTCTTTCGTAACGAGTATTATGCTAACACATCATCCACCCAGTCGGCCGAAGACAGAGAGCTTTATATTACGACATATCTCGAAATTCTCTCTCTATTACTCGATCGAGTGCAATATCCGCTCGATAAATATACTTCTTTTTTCGATATGCGTTCGATGGATAATAATTCGTTTCAATGTACCACCGTAACAGTACGTATATATAAGTACACCAAATATGATAAATTATAAAATTCTCTTTTTCACGGGCCTATGTATAAAAAATTGAAAGATCGCGAAGGTCTCCTCTGCTCGACGCAGCAGCAGCAGCAACAGGTTGGTATTTTATAACTGTCAGAGCTCGATCTTTTTTTATAAAGCTCGCGGGCTTATTACGAGGCAATCGATTCGCTCGTGTGTATAAGCGCCGCGAGTATGTGTACAACATTTTATATTATATTGGACAGTAATGGATCGATCATGTAAGCGTCCAGCAGCAGCAGTAGCAGTGGCGGCTCCTATCAGCGCGATCCGGTCCGGAAAAAGCCATAATGAATCGAGTCGCGAGAGATCTCGCGGTAGTGTAGCGCGTACGAGGAAGTCGATCGAATTTATGCGTCATAATCGTAGTACTTTTTTTCTCACCACCCCAAAATTCTCTGTACGTTGATATATATACGGCTGATTCTCTGTGAAAGAGAATGATTACCTTTTTTTATTTCTCTGTTAATAAACTGTGGTTTTCGATGTCATATCTTACCCAATATTACATTAGAATTTTCGGAAGAAATTGACTAGAAATTGTTCAAACCCTTAAATTTCCCTATTTGAGTGTATTGATTTTCCAAAATCGAGCTTAATCCCAAATTTCCTCACCTAAAAATTATTGATTTTTTTTTTTTTAATATATTCTTGGTAGAAATTTTCATTTATAATAATAACTTCATGAATGAAAATGAAAATTTAAAATCTTTTAAAATGAATTAACATTGATTTGCTTATCTTTGTAAATTTTTACGTTAAAATTATTTTGGAAATTTTAAAATCCGTGAAAATGATAATTCAATTGTTTCCAAAAATTTTGACCAGTTTCCAACCACTTTGAATATTATATTGTCTATTTTAGAATCCACCTCTAGATGGCGAGTATACCTTTATCTGTTAATCTGCAAGCGGCTAAGTGAATGTATAGTATAAATCAAGGGCATTTCAGTATCACAGTCCACCATCCGACACTTGTATTTTTTATTTTGAAAAAAGACCATGTTTACGAGGTATTATTATAATTTCTTTACTGTGGTTAAAAAGGGTATCATATTAACGATCAAATTAAAAATACAGTCCCTCATATAACGCAAATATTTTAAAAAATTCATTGTCTATAATGGCAACGATCTCTAGCTTACTTATTGAATTTAATAAATTAAAGTACGTTTGAAGAGTTATTTGGGCAAATTTTTATATTTAGAAAATAAAATAATTAAAAACGTGGATCATTTTTTATCTATGAGTGTTATCTACGAAAAGCCCATGCATATCCAAGAACATTTTCGTTGGTCAAAAACTAGCCGCATAAAAGGATCATCATTTTTACTAGGGATACAGAATCTCCGAAATTTTTCATAATTGCCTTCGTGTCTATAACATCCAGGAAAAAAACAAACGTCGAATAACAACAAAAGCACAACAGCACCCATATACAACGTGTTTTTGATACGCACGCATGAGCAGCGGCAGCAGCAGCAGAATCACGTTTGCAATGCGAAATCAAACTTTCTCCGCGCTGCTGGCTGGCGCGATGATGATGTTTATAATAGAGAATGGGCCCGGCGCGCGGTGCTTCATATAGGATGGAGTGGCCCTCGACCGCGCGGATCACGAGCTCGAAGCTCGTATACACGCCGCGCACTTCTGCGGATCGCCGCGCGTCGCCGATCGAAAAAATTACAAGGATCCACGGACACGCACCCGGGGTGGGGGCTACTATACACGATGCAGTATATATGCAGCACGATTCGCGGTGGAGTGTACTCCACTCCCGCGGAATGAGCCGAAACTCTCTCTTTTTCTTATTACGCCCGAGCGCAAAGGCGAGAGAAAGAAAGAGTACGATCTTTCGAGCGTCTATATGCACACACAAACAAATACGTATAATGTGCTATGTATATACCCGCCACCGTGGCTGCAAACCTGCCCAGCTGATCGAGAGACCAGTAGCCACACCGACACACGGCACACGGAGCCTTGCCGAGTTGCAGCATATTATACACATAGCAGCAGACCCCCGCGCGCGCGCGCGAATGCAGCAACAGTTTAGCGGACTTTCACGCCGATTTTTTCGCGCACCGCACCGCACAAGACTCTGCCACAGCCTAATATACTTGCCGACGGTGCACTGTGTGCCGCGTGCTCTACAGTCCAGTGCGCCGCCTCGCGCTCGGTGCAGCGCGTACTGCAGCAGCAGCAGCCACCTGCCCACAACGCAGGGATATCATTAATACAAACAAAACGAAATTAGTGCGAGATATACAGGTCCTGCGCGCAAAAGTCGAGCAAATTATATTGTCGCCGCGCGACCGACCAACCGACCGGCTTCGAGCGTCGAGTCACGACGTCGGGTTTTTGCGCGTCGTGTACACTGTCTTACTATTGCCAAAGGCCCAATTATTGGATACTTTTTTTACCCGCTGCCTCTCTGGTCGCGCGCTCAGGGAAACAGCGCGCGCGAGCGAGCGAGGGAAAATTCGAGATTTTTCCAGGATTTATCCGCGTATAACGCAATCGCGAGTTTAACGAGTGTGTGGTACGCGCGTGTGTGTGTGCTCATTGAAATTGCCTTGTGGTTCCGCGAGGCCTCGTGCGTGTTTAGTGTATCATTTTTCTGTGCCAAAAGTGACGCGATACATATAAATAATACCAATTAATATCGCTCATTACACTACTACTCGCGGAGATTGCCGAAACACGAAGAAAGAATCAAGAACGGTAAAAATCTAAATCTCGTTCTTGCGGGGCTCTCCTTCGCATTTCTGTGGTGTAAACTTTGCAAAATACATATAAATATAAGCGCGGCTCTTGTAGGATAGAGCCGCGTCGAAGCGCACTCGCCAAGAGAGTGAAAGTTTCAACATAGTTCGTGTCCGGAGCTATATACACATACAGCAACAAACTCTCCGCTGTGATCTTGAAGAGACGGCAAAAAGTTATTCAATAAAAAAAAAAAGGAGAAGAAAAATCCACATAGAGCCAAGAGAGGATGATGGACTTTGTAAAAGTGCAATTATCGTCTCTAGCGTAGCGTCGACGTTTAGTAGTAGGTGGAAGATCGGTATATAAGGAAGCGACAGCAGCTGCCGCTCGTGCTTTATTTATTTTTTGCCTCGGTGTGTCGATCGTTCATTCTTCCTTTTTTTTTGCGAGGCATCGCTGCTATTAAGAGAGAAATTACGTTATACATAAAACCAAGAGTGTCCGCTCGGAGATCAATAACCGATCGAGTATTTCCTCCTTCTGTTTTATTCATTTCGCGTTGTGCGTGTGTGTGTGCAATCTCGCGCAATCTCTCCTCTTCGCACGCGCGAATTCTAGCCGCGATTCGTCGACCGATTACATTATAATATTGGGCGCGCACTGGACTTGACGTGCCGCGAGCAAAACTTACGCGCACATACGAATGTACGTCGCGCAAGCACGCACGTATGTATCTATGTGTACATAATCGTTTTCATTTTTAACGGTTTTGCGCGTGTGCGCTCGTGAGCGCCCGCGAGTGACAGCTCGCAACGATCGTGTGTGTGTGTGTGTCGGTGTGTTCGTATAATATCGCTTTCACGACTGCCGATACGACGACGACGACGACGACGTCGTCTCGGGCGATTTTCGCTTTCGCTTGAGTCCACAAATTGTGTGCATTGCAGCGCGGCGCGGCGCACGCGCTCGCCTCGGCAATAGTAAAGCGGCATTAGTGGCATTAGTAAGTGGCTATATCGCGCGCCGCGAGATCGACGAATTGTACATCGATCGGTCTTATTATCGAGCACGTACTCGTTTCGCGTAAAAAAAAGAAGCGACGATCATGTGCAGCGAGCGACGACGAGTTACCGATCAGAAATCCGTAGGTCGATATTTTTATAATAATAATTCAGGATCGATGTACGACAAGTGCAAAATGACTTTTGACACGTACCACTGAGAGTCGTGGCTGTGGGGATACACGAGAGAGTGTGCGATATCGGAGGCACGTACGTAGCTGCGCTCGATTTATAATTGACGGCAAAATCTGGGCAAGGTCGTCGTCGACGCTGCTTCGTGCTGTGGAGAAAATCGAAAACATTCCTGCGGCGACCAGGAGAAAGACCGGCAAAAGCGTATGTATATAAAAGGATTATAGTCGATCGCCGATCGGCAAAGAAGAGGAAAAAAAAGTAGAGAAGAAATAAGTTGGAGTATATCGATCTCGAGCAGCTATACACACACACGAGTACCACACATGCAGGTGTCAATTTGGCAGGAGGTGGTATCACGTAAGAAGTGGAGGAGTGAGAGCTCGCGCGTCGTCGCCGTCACTGTGTAAGTGTGCTGCTTGGCTTGGCTTGGCCCGAGAGTCAAGCGCAAGAAAGAGAGGAAGGAACGAACGGACAGCAGTATAAGCAGTAAGCACCTCGACCGCGTCGATTCGCGATTTGCTCCGGCATTCAAATTTCCGAACTCGTCGCGGCTAGCGCGACTGTGTTGTGCTCCGCAGCTCGTCAGTGTCCGGGGCAGCAGGCAGCGGTGTGCTGCGCGCGGCTCTTTCTCTTCTCTTCTCTCTTGGCAAGTGCGTGTGCCGCAGTTGTGGCTCATCACCGGCTCGCTCGACGGAGTGACGTTTTTTTTTTTTTCGAAAATTATCCCCTTTGTGCGCGCGGTAATGAGATAGGCCGAGGACAGAGTGCTTGAGGATATACGCAAGGATCTTGTGAAATCTCTGCATCGTTTGGTTTTGTTTATTTTCTCGTTTTCAATCGATCTTGAAAAAATAAAGAGAAGAGAATATCGCAGAGGATGGAGGCTCGACGAGGAGCCGCCGCCACTTTTTGGCTGCTGCTCTTAATGAGCGCGAGCTTGCAACAGATCCAAGGACTTCGGATCTTGATGGCCACCATGGGTGGCACCAAGTCGCACACGGTGCCCTTCGCGGCCCTCGGCAAACAGCTTCAGCTCCGAGGACACAACGTCACTCTGGCCAGCGGTTTTCGGGGCACAGTGCCACCCAACAGTACCCTGAGGGAACTCGTCTCCGTCAGGCTCGAGGTAAGATGATATTTTTTACTTTATTTTCAATCGACCGCGTCTAGATCGTTATTATCACGTTGTAGGTCGAGAGTACCACTACCACTAGATGTTTACCGATCTATTAGAGCCTAGTGTAGTAGTAGCATAATGACCACAAGGCACTAGAGAAAAATCCTTAAATTGCGTCGGCTAACTAGTACACGCACATGTGTCTGGGTACGTGCTCTCGCGTGTAATTGCGCATGCTGCTACTGCTGTGTATTATTTCTTAATACCCCGTAACACACGTACGTATCGGCGCTCGAGAAAACGCGACATAGACGTCTTGTTTCGTCGTCGTCGTCTCTGTATGTAATTCAGCGGCGGCCGATCGTGTGCATATTATATGTGTCGTGTTGTTTATTATGTCGACTCGCGGCTATTCGATACGTGATTAACAATATAATAAGGGCCCCGTGTAATATTGGAAAGCCGCCTATGGGACGCATTATAGTCACGTCGCAATTCGTGAGCCCATATATCTCGACGCTCCGCGACTCCGTTGTTATAATAGACTCGCGTCTCTCTGTGTCATTTCTGCAACATCGCCAATATCATTATCGTGTGCAGCTCGGCATAGAGAGTATTAATGCTAAATAGGCTCGCTCACTGACCGGCCACCGAAGAAGGAGCTTCTGCTTCTTCGTCTTCGTCTTCGTGGTTTTAACCGATAAATATAAATATAAATTGCACGTGGACATTTGCATCTGTGCTAGCTACAAGTGCTGTGCCTCGTCAATTTTTTGCCGGCGTAAATGGTCTCCTTTTTTTTGCTTTATTTCGTTTTTTAATAAATTATTTATAAACAATTTTTAATGCTCGCCGAGCGCGCGCGCGCGACCTTGAACCGCTTCAATTATATATTATATCGCGCCTCGCCGCCATCGCAGGTGCGTATTTATTATGATACATTATATACGTATACGCACGTCGCGGCGGCAAACGTTAGAAAGTGTTCCTTGTACTCTTTATAATACTCTTTTTTTTGCCTTTAACGAGCCGTGCGCGTTACGCGGACGAATAATCGCGGTGCGCTGTTACGAATCCGCCGACTACTAAGAACATACCTGCGCGCTGCAGTTCACCTGTGTGTGTGTGTGTGTGCGTGTAATACGTTGTACATATAAGTACGCCAAATTTCACCCGCGACGGTGACGGCGACGACACGCACGCGTCATTATATACAGCTATATATATTTCATGGTGCATGTACGCGCCGCCGCCTTTTGTTTGGTTCCCGGGAAAAACCATTTATACATACAAGTACAAATGTGAAATGTTATTAAGTATACGAGGCTAATTTAGATTTTTTACGTAACGTTTGTGTACATTTACTGCAATTCGCAATCGGAGACGTAGATTTTGATAAGTATACACACGATTCATTGACACGGATATATACAACACAATATAATATAAACCTGCTTCCCAGATCAGGTCTCTAGCGATTTTTCCAACCGATTTGCACGAATCATTGTTATAATTACGTGTTAATAATTATGACCCAAAAGTGCGACACTTAAATATACGCGTGTGTAATACGTCTGTCAACGCGCGAGAAATGCAGTTAATAATGTGTACAAATACACGCATTATTGCGGTCTCGTATATAACTTTCGAATACGCGCGTGGTGCGGTGCATGTATACGATAATCCGAGGCACATTATAATGCCGCGCGTTTACGCGCCAACTCGCGAGTTGAAAACAACGCATATATATACGGACGAGCGCACGCGTCGCCAGGAATTTTCGCATATTATGCGTGAATTTTTAAACGTTCGAGAAAACCTCACGTGTACGCGAATTGCGATCCGCGAGATGCGCGATCGCGATTACAATGAGCCTTATACACACACTCGCGCGAGAGTTTATTATTTCCAATTGAATGTGTCTGGCAGCGCATCACTTGAGCAATCGCTGCGCGCCGAGAGCGAATCTTGGATATTTTTCAGCAATCGAAGCGCATACCTGCGATTGTAAGACGTGGATTTATGGCTTTTCCTGGTTCGAGAGACACACTTACCTGTTTATTCGAATTGATCGTATAAGAAGCAGCTTAGTAGATGGATTTGTTCAGCAAATTAGGATTGGTATAATACCGTGTGTGCATTGTGCGATTTGAGATATTGATTTATAGGAGATAAAAATTTTATTATTTGGATAATCGATACTTTGATCTTTTCTGTGTTGTACACGATGGAAATGTCGAGTTTCCGAGTCGAGTTTTGTCGAAAGCTATATTGATTTGATGCTAACGTCAAACGTCTATTATTGATTTAATTTGAAAAGTTTATGCTCAGGGCTAATTAGAAATTACACGGTAAAAAAATGGTGTATTCAATTCAGATTTGGTGTAAAATCAGACCTATTGGATTTTGTCCGTGTGGGGATTTGTGGCCTTCACCGCCAGGTGGCGAGTATCTTATCTGTAAATCTGCAAGTGTCAGAGTCAAAATAATTGTATAAGTTGATGCCAAATTTTAGTGTTTCACAATGCTGTAATCTGTGTTAGTAAAATCTTAATGTAGACAGAATCGGAATTCATTTTCAAGTTCAAAAAAAGAAACATCCTCTACTTCTACATAACTTCCAATTAAAAAACTACGAGAATAAACCAATCGTTTCATATCCACCCTCGCTCCACGCAGGAATACATCACGAACTACACGGCGACCTGGGACCTCGTGGGCTCGCGCATCCGCAACGAGTGGCCACTGTCGCCCTGGGACGCGATGCGCTACGGCTGGGAGTCCTGCGACTCTCTCCTCGGCGACGAGTACTCCGTCGGCCTGCTCCAGAACCCGGAGGGCGATCCTCGGCTCGCCTGGGACGTGGCCCTGGTCGACGGCGCCTTCCCCGAGTGCCTTCTCGGCGTGCTGCATCGCGGCGCCGACGCCGACCCGCCGGTGCCCACCATCATGCTCAACACCGTGGCCCTGTACACGGGCTCGCTGTCGCGCCAGGGCAATCCCACGCCCTGGTCCCTGAGGACGTACTTCGGCAAAGCCTTCACCCAGGACATGAACTTCTTCGACAAGCTGAGGAACGCCTTTTACATGGGCTCCCTCGAGTTCATGCACTGGATCATGACGACCAAGTACATACAGCCGATCCTCAGGAAACACCTCGGTAAGTCGCACAATTTATAGAACGGGATCGAGCGCGTATAACACGAGGAAAAACGATCGGCGGTGGCGATTACGTCACTTATCGTAACGCGGAGGTAATGCGCGCTATACAGGATTATAAACTCGCGCAAATGAGGCACACACACACTGCACCGACACACATGCGTAACCGTACACGAAAGGGGAAAAAAATTATATTATTAAATTCTCGTCGTCGTCGCGTTAAGCTGCGCGCGGTATATATATATGTGTGTGTGTGTGTGCAGCAGTCATCGGTTACGAGGCGCGCGCTCGTAGCCGCGCCACGGACGGATATAATGACGGGAATTTCTCCGGAGAAAGTTACGTCCAGTATGTGTGTACGTATGTACACAGACACACACATATATGCGCTGCACGTGCTTACGCGCATTTTTGTACACACGCTCGGGGCATTAAAATGATTTAATTGGCTTCCTTTTTTTTTGCTGCCGCTTTGCTCTTTTTATTATTATTACTCGTTTTTACCTCGTTTTTATGATTATTTTTTGTTTGTTTGGCCCGAAACACAGGCAATCAGGTACCGGACGTGCGTGAACTGGTGAGCGAGGTGCCGCTCACCCTGCAGAACAGCCATTACGCGGTGGCCGACGCCCAGCCCTTCTTGCCCAACGTGGTGAACGTCGCCTGCATACACTGCGTCCAGCCGGCGCCGGTCAACGAGGCGCTGGATAAATTTCTCGAAGCGGGTATGTGTGTTATATATAATACACGTTTTCACTATTATGAGACGCGAGCGCAAAATTAATTAGCGCATATGTATCGCGCACGATACGAAATTGTAAAGCGCTAAAATATATCTTATGAAAGGAGCTCGTCCTCTATCTCTCGAGGAGAGAAGAGACAACTCCTTGGCTAAATTGAGCCATCGATCAATTTTATGCCTCTTGGTTCACTGATTGGCAAATTCATGGGTGCGCGAAAGGAGTTTATTATACGCGTGTGTACGCGTAATGATACAATGACGGCATTAATATTCATCATACCGTAAATGATTCCAAGCCGCACGCGAGGTTGAGCGAATTACGATCTGCAGTGTAAACAATACCGGTATTGTTACTATGTCACCAGTCCATCGTTGGTCACATATACAGATCGGACATTTTTTTGCTACTTGTGGGTTTACTGGACTCCATCTGGCGATGGAATCAAAAAGCTCATATTCAAATTTGACACCTATATGATCGGTCTTTATTGAGCAGTTATGTAAGACTACACGGAAAAACTTTTGGCCATGTTTCACGCTCGAATTCTGAAAACGAATCATGCACGAGTTCTGCTGAGCTCGTTTCGTCATCAGCACTGAGCGCGATTGAGCCGTTCAGATCGTATTACGTTAAACGTTATCAGACGATTGACCATATATATGAATACTATGTATAGAAATGTTTTTGACACTTGCAAGTTTACAACACTCCATCTATTGTTCGAATCAGAAAGCCCGTAATCAAATATGATACACCTTCAACTAAGGTCAATCCTGTTCGGCGAAAATATAAATTATATTATCCATTTCAATAAGCAGCTATGTAAAAACGGCTATTATCTTAAATTAAATGAAAATTGAAACAAAAAAGTAAATATATAGATTCTTGAAGCTATTGGAAAATATCATTTTCAAGGACGATTCCACGATAAAAATAATTTTCAACAAAACTTCCCTTCCACCCGCAGGCTTCGTCTTCGTGTCCATGGGCTCGTCCGTCAAGGAGTCGGGCATGCCGCGCGAGCTCATCGACGCCTTCGTGCACGTCCTCTCGTCGCTGCCCTACAACGTCGTCTGGAAGTGGGACGGCGGCTTCATACCGAATCTGCCGCCGAGCGTGCGAGTCGGGCCCTGGTGGCCTCAGCAGGATCTACTGGGCCATCGGGGCCTGAGGGCCTTCGTGTCGCACGGCGGTCTGCTGTCGCTGCACGAGGCGGCCTATCACGGCGCGCCCACCCTGGTGCTGCCCGTCTTCTGCGATCACGACGGCAATGCCGCCCAGGCCGGTGAGTTTTCGACGATGTGAAAGGCCGCGACGGTGTATACAAATAAATCCTTTTGCCTATTAACCTGGAGTGTATATTACCTCGTGATACACGCGCGATCCAGTTTTGTTGTTGTTTGATCTTTCGTGAGCGAGAAAGAAAAGTACTTTCATTCCTGTGGCCTGAGTACGGGGCGACATGTAATATAATGATTTCTCTTTTGTGTTTTTGGAAATTCCGTGAACTACATTCGCGCGAAATTGCGCTCGCGAACGCAACAAATGACCGCAAGAATTATATTGCCGCGAGAAAACGGTGACTCGATTTTCATAGATGTGCTTATAAAGTCGTCATTTTATAATGATTCCTCCTGATTACTCACCCGAGATGGAATCATCTTCATTACACCTCAAATCCTTTCTTAATACAACGCTAATGAATGCAAACTATATCTTGAATCTTTAATTCATTATTATTTTTTTTTATGCACAGCCAAATTGGGTTACGCACTGGTCATGGAATTCGAGACCTTTACCGCGGCCGAGTTTCGGGAAAATCTGCTGAAGGTCGCCTCGCCCGATCCCAGCAATCCTTACCGGCTGGCGGCCAAGAAACGTAGCGAGCTCCTCAAGGACGTGCCCATGTCGGCGGTCAACATGTCGGTCTGGTGGGTCGAGCACGTGGCCAGGCACCGGGGCGCCGATCATCTCAAATCCAGCGCAAGGTAAATGAAATGAATTATAACTTTTACTTGCTTTGGTAGAAATTTTCGACTTCGATAATGGCCTAATGACCAAAAAAATATCGTTAATGTTTTAAAATACATTACCATTAATTGACTTGATTTAGGCGATTTTTCTGTTACAATTATATAACAAATGACATGAAAATTATAATTTAATAGCTTTAATAAAATTGGAGGAATTTTCAAATTCTTTGTATTTGACGATAACATTTCAAGAATCTATCGCTAGGTAGCGAGTAGCTTCATCTGTAAAACTGCAAGTGGAAAAGTCAAAATAATTCTATAAATCATAACATATTCTACTTCTTTGCAAACTGTTGAGAAAAATGTTCCATTTTTGGTTACAATATGTTCAATTCTAGTGGCTCTTACATCTCCAAGACCTTTTTTCATTGGCTAAAAACTAGCCATAACATTTTGAGCATTTCTATCAGGGCAACTTTAAAATGCTATTTTAATCCAATTTACTGATCTTGCAATTTGTTTTGTACGATTTCAGACACATAGGGCTGTTGCAGTACTACTGCTTCGACGTTTTAGGATTTTACTTGACCGTTCTGTGCGCTTCTTATTGGTCGGTAAAGAGGTTTATTGGAAAATTCAGATCGCGCAGGAGGAAGCTCAAACTTAAGGAATCATAGAGCCCTCGCTATTGATCGAACAAAGAAGTGCGACAATGTGGACGAAAAAAATAACCCAAAATCGAGATTAAAAAAAAAAAAAAATTAACGATACTCTGTATTTTCTTTTGTTTTGTTGTTTTTTTTATCGAACTATTTGGTGGTTATATAGGTTTATTCTCGAGCGGGTATACACGTAAAATTGTTAGAAAAACCATAGTCGTCAGTTTTTTTCTTTCTCTTTTCGTTGTTAGACGATAATTTGTACAAATAAATATTAGTTTATGCGATAGACTATTGAATTTACGGCCGGCCATTGTGAATATTCATGAGTATAATTACGTCACACGTGCACTCACACGAAAAATACGAATATTCAATGGCTTTAAGGTTGTTTATTTTAATTTTGTATCATAATTTAAGAATTCCATCTTTTTTGTCAATTATTTTGTAAATAATACTCATAATTAACGAAAGATGACGTCGAATGCAAATTCACGACTTGCGTGTCACAATACCGTTGCTATCACGTCGATATATGAACGCATTATATTATACATGCAGCACGTGCGGTGCAAATGTTTTTGTTTTGTAAAGATGTTTTGGTCGAAATTCGGGTAACTCCGAAAATGCATAACATTGATTAATTGTACAAACGAGTTAATTTGTATATTAGATGTATATCGATTGTATGTAGATTCTAAATGATTATTTACTGTTTAAAAAAAGAAAATACTAAGTTTTAGCTCTGATTATTCTCGAGCCATTTTATAATATTAAAATGGTGTTGAGGCTTGTATCAAGCTGTTACGATGTTCACTTCATTTTTGTATTATAATTCTTATAAGATATTTTTTTGCATGTATATAAAAACCCGTAATAAAGAAAAATGTTATCTAAGATTCAAAGGTTTTTTACCTCCAGTCAATCTTATAATTTACAAGTATTTATACACTCAGCAACAAAATTATCGCAACAAAAAAATTCATCGAAATTTCGTCAATTTTCAAATGCTTCTACACTCGGCAACAAAATTATCGCAACAAAAAAATTCATCGAAATTTCGTCGATTTTCAAATGCTTCTACACTCGGCAACAAAATTATCGCAACAAAAAAATTCATTGAAATTTTGTCAAATTTCAAATGCTTCTATCTTGGGCTAGGTTCATCGTATCGAGACGCTTTTTTTTTAATTTCTTGGACATTTTGTCCTCTTTAAATCCAAATAAATTAAGGAGGTAGGTTCCCTTGCAAAGTTCTCAAGAAGTACATATATCAATATCGATAGATTTTGACCTCCCGAATCCAACGGTATAACTCTCATATGCCCAAGCCAGGCAAAATCTCGAGAAAAACGCAATCAAAGTTTCGAAAATTAACATGGGCAACATAGGAATTTATGAAAATTTGAGATACATTTACAATTTATGAAAAGAAATCAAAGTTCGCAGAGGCATGATTATATACAAATAGTAGAGAAAGTTCTTATCTTTCAAAAACCGTGTCTCAAAGTAGAGGTAGCCTGCCGTTTTTTCAATATTTTTTTAATAAAAGACGCGAAAACACGACTGTTTCGGCTCGTTTTAGGGCTAGCAGACGACAAGCCAGCTAACTTAACCCATGTTACTGCGCGAGCTCTCAATTGATTAGCGTGTTACCCGAGGGAACCTCCTTAAGATGAGATTCGAGTTAATGTTGATGTGTCGACTAAAAATTACAGAAAAAAAATGACTGTTTGAACGTGTACCAGTACCACAGTAATTTTTCTATGGACATCTAACATACACCATCGCAAAGTTCTTTTTTCAACGAGTAATTTAAAAAAAAATGACCTCTCTACGATTTTTTTAACGCCCTGTAGGTCGTTTTGAAGATACCATTTAAAGTACGTAAAATCCCCTGAAATCAAGACGATTTTCTGGGTACACAAACCGTACCTTCCAATCGACCTATACAGGGCGTTAAAAAAATCTTAGAGAGGTCCTTTTTTTTTAAATTACTCATTGAAAAGAGCACTTTGCGATGGCGTATGTTAGATTTCGATAGAAAAATTACTGTGTTTGGTACACGTTCAAACAGTAATTTTTTTTCAGTAATTTTTAGTGTCGCGCTCAAATACTACTGGTAACTCAACATTAACTCGAATCTTATCTTAATTTATATGGATTTAAAGAGGAAAAAAAAAAGCGTGTCGATACGATAAATCTAGCCCAAGATAGAAGCATTTGAAAATCGACGAAATTTCGATGAATTTTTTTGTTGCGATAATTTTGTTGACGAGTGTATATTGGAAAAATAACATGTACAGCATAGAATTTTTTCATGAATCTTAAAAAAATTGAGAAACTTTGAATAGAACAAGGTTAAATTAAATACTACAGTATTTTTCTAAAAATAAAAATTACTGCATTGTTATTTTCAGTATGAAAACTATAGTGAAACAAGTTTAACAACCAATGGTAATGTTGAGTCGAAAAATAAGATTGATTGTCAAGAGTCGGTAAGTCCAAATCTTTATTGGATAATTCATTAATTTACTTTATCGACATTCTTCGAGACTCGCGAATTTAATGTATTTTTCGAAATATGATAGAGTTCAGCCTCTTTATAATGAAATTGATTTTTTGTTACATCGAATTTTTAATATAAAATGGGTCTAGAAAAAAAGATGTTTTTACGAGTCATAGAAGAATGCACAGCCAGACCAAAAATCCAATTTCCTATCGTGTTTTCTACAAGATTTTACAAGCTTCATTTTGAGTTTTTTTGAAGGCACTGTAAAATAGCCTTTTAGAGAAATGTTAAGTTAAGTTTCAGAAAACTGAAACCTTATAAAAAAAATTAAAAGTATATGAAAATTAATCAGTAAATTGAAAAGGCAATAAGTTTTGTTAAAAATATTCTATTATAATTCTTTATTTTGAAGAACTTGTAACACATGATAATTGTATCATGTGTTGAATACAATAAAATTTAAAGTCACTTCGAGTTGAAAAATATCAAAAATATTCCGATAAAACAATTTATTTTAAAACTGGGCTTCAAGCCATATAAGATAAAACTAAACCAGAATATAGGTACAAAAAGACCCCAAAAAAGGTTTGTTAAGGATTTGTCTCCCAGAGATGAGAAGGTATCCTCGTAATTGAATCTGTAAAAATATTGTTGGTTAAACAATTGACTCTACAGGGGGTATCAGTCTCAGAAGCTTCTCATTCAAGCTTATGTTCGCTATCTCCGTATCTTTAACAAGATTTTACTAATTATTCAGTTTGTGACAAATTTCTAACAATGTTTTACTGTAAAAAATTGATTTTTACGCAAATCCACTTGAAGAATTTTTCAGTATTTTTCGATGTTTCATATTTTATTCAGAGTCATGCACCTCAGCTTTGTACTGTTAATTATTCTTTTATGGTAGCTTTATACTTTTGTGACGAAAGTTACTTTATACTTTTTTTGTTCAAAATATGGAAGTATTCAGTATAACATTTACTTTTTAGAGAACAATATTTTTAATTAACTTATTACAAAAATCAGTTGATGATCTATCATGAAAACAACCCTAGGGTTTTTTTCGACTAATCATGACTCATCGCGAAGAACCTTCAAAAAAAATGAAGAAGTCTTGCAATTCATGAAAACTATTGCTGTGTCACAATTTCCCCTGTTTATAAAAACATTACAGCTTGGCTTCGTCTGGCCATTACAAAAAAAATATGTGCAGTTTATAGGAAGATCATTCATTATTCTTTGCCTACTTGCTTCATCCATTTCAACAGTAAATAATTTTCATAATAATTGCTTAATGTTTTTTATAAAAAAAAATTTTTTTTTTTCGAAGGGCATAAAATTACAGATGATACTGAAAGATACCGATTTACTTAGTCCAATTGTTTTTGATATTGTTTATAAAAACATGGTTATCGTAACAAAGTTGGGTTCTTATATATTTTTAATTTTCAACGACGATAAAGTACATAAAAGTATTGATAGATAAAAAAAATGTATAACCAAATTTTACACAAAATAATTATGTTGAACCAAAATTACTGATTTTTAGATTATTAAGTGTATGACCATAACTACTAAAATATTACAAGGCCATGATACTGTTGGTCAAAAAATAATAATGGAAACACTTAAAAAAGGTTTAGCCATACATTGGTTTCAAATGGGTAATCATTTTTTAATTTTCAATTAGTAATGAAGATAAATCAAGTTACTTATTTTTCAGTACTTATTTGTCCTGTATATGTACGTATATCTATAGTCCCAGCAGCTACCCAAATTTTCATGTTTTGGATATTACCAGATGATGTACGATCTTCGAAGACTTTGCCCTTGAAGTTGGCAAACTTCTTCGATGAAGATGAATATTTTTTTTATCATTTGGCATATCAGATTTTTATTGTATTTAGTTGCTTTTTAATACTTTCACTTCTCAATTTTCTTCAATGCACAGTTACAGGAATTATTATTGGGGAAATTCAATGTTTACAGTATGTAAAGTCTTACGAAAAAATCTTGTTAAAAATTGATAAATATCTTTATTTGTACTGCAGATACTACTTGAAGGCATTGGATATCGAGATTGAGCATCGAAAGTTCGTACTTAAACAAACTGTAAGAACTTCCTTTCATCGAAAATTAAAAGAAATAATTTGTCAACATCAAAACTGCATCAAGTAAGTTTTTGTTTTAAATCAGATTTTTTTTCAAAACAGAACTTTGCATTATCTTTTTATTTTAATTTTCAATAACATACATTCAAGGCTCTACGAAATTTTTCATTCTATGTCAAGTTTGCTAAATTTTTTTATAATTGTCGCTGCTTCTTTTATAGTCATATTAAATGGTATTTTGGTAAATATTATAACTTTTTTAACGGATAATATAGCATGATAAAAAGAATGGATCGACAAAAATCTATTCTTCTCGTAATTGAAGTAAACGTCCCTATTATATGTATTACACAGTTTGAGCTTTAAAACGCAATTACGAAAATGTAATACTTATCGAAAATGTAGTTAATTTTTTTTATTAAAGTTATAAATTAGACGACTTAGCGTCAATAATACAGAACGTATTTTATTCGTTTTTCAGCATGCCTCATTATGAAATACTTTTCTGAACCCATTATACTATATAAGGAAAATGTTTTCACACAATTTCTTTTTAGGGTCGTTTACTTTAGTTTATTCAGTACTATTTTATTTTGCCTTTTAAAAGATTTAAATAAAACTTTTGAATATTTTTTAAATAATCTAGTTTGTAGTTTTATGGGATGAAGATCAAATAGAAGCTTTGAAAATTGTATTTACAATTATAGCTACTTTATTAATAATTATTGGTATTTGTATTCCAAGTCAATTATTGAGCAACGCTACTAATGATTTGTTTTTTGAATGGTAACCGAGGTGTAAAATTGTTTGCTATTGTATAATGGATGATAATATTTGTTAACTAAAAATTTTACGTAGTTATTCTATTCAATGGTACAAGTATCCGCCGAAAGCTAGGCTCTTATTATTATTAATCATGACAAGATCAATGAAAGATTTTGCGATAACATGCGGACCACTAACAACGCCTTTGAATATTGAAACCTGCACAACGGTAAGCTGAATTATCTCCTTTTCGATAATTTCACGGCTTAATGAAATCAACATATCTCTTTTTGCAGATTATCAAAAGATCAATGTCGTATGTAGCAGCTTGCACATCAGTATATCTATCCTTAAAGTAACGGATACCTTTTTGATACACCTACATATTGAAGTATGTACCCATTTTTCAAGGTAACAGAACGTAACTACTTAATAATTTTACCATTTGTTTTTTCTCTTAATAATGATTTTTTTGACCTTG